ACATTTTCGTTGACTCGCCGGTTCAAACCCGATTTGCGTCAAACTTAATCCCAACATGTATTAAGTTATAACCAAGCATTTTATGCCCCTTTTTTCCCTTAAAACATTATATATATTTTTATAAACATTCTCATATCATACTTCATTTATGATATCAATGGGTCATACATATAAGTCTAATCACTTTGGATAATCACATGTTTAAGCATCTTTTAAACATCATTATGAACACATATAACATTTACTTAGGTAATCTCATAATTAACCCAAGAGTTATAAGACATTAAGCCGTCCACTCACCTCGAATGAGCGTGATGAAGTTCTACCCTTCTCGGTTGAACTCCGGCCAAACTCCGACGAACTTTGACGAACTCCGGCGATAACTCCGGCGACTCTTAAACTTCGTGAAGGCTCTTAAATCACCCTTGACAAGTGCCTAACAAGGTTTTATCATCACAAAACCCATATCATTACAAACAACCTTTAAAAGGTTATTTTCCGGCTAACCGGTCGTTTTGGCTCCTAAGTCCGTTCTTGGACTTAGAGCTACTTCCGACTCCCTCGTTCCACACTTAAAACCATGTAGAACATCCTTAAGGGTATTTCATATGATATATAAGTCATATGAAATCAAAAGATGGAAGAAAAGTTGTTAAGGAGCTTCTCACCTTTATTCTCAAGGTTTTTCTCTACTTTTGCAACCTTTTTCTTCTTCCTTGAGTTCCTTGCTTCCTTGAGCTCTCTTGGCTATGGAGATGAAAGTTTGCAGAGCTCTCCTCCTTGATTGGGGGTGGCTTGGACGCACAAAACATAGGGGGAAGGGGTGAGGAGACTCCTTTTGTCTCAAATGGAAAATAAGTGAGGGGGGAGGTCCACCTTGGGTCAACTCTCACCCAACCATCACCCTCAGCCCACACACACCTCTCAACCCATGTTATGAAGCTCCCCTTGTCAACCAAGAGCTCTCAAAAACGTGGGATGGCCCCCACTCATGTGGGAGGTCATCCCATTATGTCCCGAAGTGTACAATCGGTCCCGAAAGTTGTATTTCTCGGACTGTTTTAATTATATTTTATTTTATTGGGTCGAATAAAATATAACACTTACTCCCCATCATAATGGGCCTTTAGGATGATTATACATTCCCCAACTTTAATTTGGAAGTCCCCGAAATTCATTTCGGACTGTTATCCGATAAATTACCCAAAACCGGTAATTGGGCCTTGTTTGACCAATCGGTCAACCCAATGCCTTTCTTATGGCCCAAAGTAAATGTCCACCACCATATAACTATTATCTATACCAAGATGAATAAAATATGTGGTCTCGGTAATATCGGGTGGTCCCCGCTCCCGTGTGGGCCCCACGTGCACTTTACTATTCACGCAAAAGAATTAACAAAAATTTACAACCTCGTAAATTCATTAACCATTTCATAAGGTTCAATACATAATTTACACAAAAGTAAATATACTTGGGGACGGTGTTACACTTAATATTATAACTAGTTGTATCTAGTTAGTCATTATATAATAGATAGTGCCAGGCTGTACATAACAACTACAGTAGAGTTACTTAGAAGCTATATTCGGTATATATAGGGTATGTTTGGCACGACTAGCTGAAAAGATACTTTTGTGAGCTTTTTAGTAACTGTTAGCTTTTAGTGACTGAAAAGATCTTAAAAAGAAAAGGTGGTAGCTGTTTGGTAAAAAGCCGACTGTTTGATTTAGTCTTGTTTGGTATACAAGCTGTTAGGACAAATTAATACTAGAAGTCACGGTCTTTTCTCAGATGCTACTCCCCGTAGCATCTAAAAAAAGATCTTTTATTTTTCGAGAAGCTCTTAAAATTTGTCATGCCAAACACACAACTAAAAACTTTTAGAGACTTTTTAAACAATACAAAAGCTAGAAGGCAGCGACTTATGTGTGCCAAACATGCACATAGTAGCTAGCTCATCATTTGTAAACTAGAATAACAAATATTTCATCTTCTTCATAAGCTTTCTTTCTCTCCAAGTTTATTTGCTTTTTCATCTTTATGCCAAGTCTTCATTGTTGCAAGTCTCATGTAAGATTCAACAATGGAGTGTGCTTTGTACACATCCCTTTAATTAGTATGATATTAATAAATTTATCTTCTTTTTGTGGGGTCCGAAGGAAGCTCATCTAACTTAACTTCTTGGGGAATTGAAGTAGCACATTGATAGTATTGATGGGGTGTTTTGTTCAAAATGATGTCCATAAAATATGATAAAAGTGTAACTTAACTTCTTGGGGAATTGAAGTAGAACATTGATAGTATTGATGGGGTGTTTTGTTCAAAAAAATGTCCATAAAATCTGATAAAAAGGTGTAATTAAGTTTTATAACTAATGTACTCTTTTTGTCACTTTATGTATCTTAACTATGAAATAGAATTACCATTTAATTTTAAAATTACGTAGCTATGTAAATATTATATTTCACATGGCTTTCGTAATCTTTAATTTAAATCATAATTCTATTTATAGCTCGTTGTAAATTTATTAGGATACATTAGAGTAAATTATACTCCGTACTACTTAATTGTTTACTACGTTTTTTAGAGGAATTTACTACGTATTTATTATATAGGAACTTAACACCTTAATAGACTAACAGTTTAACATAATAAAACATGTACACATCACATCACACATACAATGTAAGATCAATTCTTCTAAACTTCTAAGTTTAGGAATTTGAAATTCCCTATTAACAGAAGCTGAAAAGTATCAATATAAAATTAAAAGCTGAAATAAAGAATGCGGGCTATTAATTTAGCATTGGGCATTTTATTTGGGCTGACTTGTGAGCAAAACTGATGGATGAGCTAAAAAAATTATGTCGCATATGAGGTCATTTAATGTTTTCATTAGGGGTAAAAAACATTCGAGAATTGGCCTTTTATTGGGGGCAGATGCCCTCCACTTCAATCTGTGTATTCACCCCTAGTTTCAGATCTATAAATTTATTTTCAATAATGTTTTAGGAAAACATCTTATTATTAAGCAATATTGTTTATTTAATTTTATACTCTAAGGCCCTTACTATGTCACTACTTGACTACTAAGGACGATTCTTAATTTTATGGTATGCATACTATAATATAATTAAGTTTGGTCTCGTCAAATCTGATATATGCTTATTTCATGTGTATTGTTTAATTATCAAAGTCTAGTTTAATTTGATCTTTACCGGCTCTAACCTATTTAATTTAGTTTGAGACTAAATATATTCATGTGATTGTGTTTGGCTGAAGTCTCAATAATTTCACTCCACTGAAAGGGAGAGCTTTTATAATATATAAAGGCAATGGACAAATTTGTACTCCCTCTGTCCTTAAAAGAAGTTCCATTTCACTATTCAATTGGTCAACTTATATCACTCTTAATCTCTTACTTTTTATATCAAAATTTTATAAAAGTTGAATTATTTTTTGCAGGCTTTGTAGCGGGTTTAATGTAGTTTCTGAGTATGCAAATTTTATTTACTAAAAATAATCCGAGTTTTCACAGGGATCATTTAACTTTATCGTCGGTCAAGTTTCGTAATCCGCAATTGGAACAACATTTAGGGACGGAGGGAGTATTGATAAACCAGAATTGAAGTCACATGATTTTGTTGGTACATCATTACATGAGTGATGGTATCAACTGCAGTGTGAGAACCCAGGTCCTATACTCATTGTTTTACTCCTTGTTTAGTACGTAGTCGGTAGGAGCTAGATTATAGAGAGATGAAAAGTAAATTAAGGTATCATCTTAAACCATTTCTAAGTGAAGTGATACATAATTTGATGCGCACAAGAAGCCATCACATTGGACGGCCATATTCTTACACTATCACTGTCGAAGATTGTACCTGAGACTTCAACTCAACTGTCTCACTCAACCACCGTTGAGCTACCTGTACGGGCAATAAAGTCTATTTTCTAATTCAAAGACTACAATTTGGTGCTATCTTGTAAAACTGAAATACTAACTGAATGAAGTAAACTTATTTTACAACACGATTGAAACAATTAAGGATTGCGAATTGTGAAATTACAACAAAAACAAGCATTTTAAAATAATTAAATAAAATTTGAATAATGCTAGGATAAAATCGACATAAACTTGTGGTAAGTTAAGCGGTTGAACTGAAACTATGCAATCAGTAACGCTTCAAATCAACTACTTTAGTTTTAGGTTCAGACAAGGTTGTATGCCAATTAGTCCATCCAAATTTGGCGCTATCTTGTACCTAAGTTCATACAGAGTTGTCTTGTTCCGTTTATTTAGAAACCTATCTAAAATGTAATAGACCGTGAACATGGTCTCTCCCTAAAACCCTCATAGTAAGAAAACATCGAGTTAATCATTTCCTTCAAAACTCGTTTTTTCTATTCAACAATATCGTTTTGTTATAGTGGGTATGGAGTCATGGTCTTATTTATGATTCTAATAGATTGAAAATAATGGAGTTCATATATTCTCCTTCCCAATGACTTCAAAGACATTTAATTAGATTACGCAATTGTAATCAACTTCTACTTTATAAACTTTAAACTTTTTGAAAGCTTCATTCTTGATAGGTAATAAACAGACCGAGTTGAACCATCAATAAATGATTAGTCTGTATTACTTCAAAAAATTTCCAAAGCTCCATCCCCAATTCAATAATTGCTCGGTATTTTTTCTCATTTGTGATATTTTTTTCTATAAATGATTTTTTCCTATCACATTGGGTCCTCCTGACTGCACCGTTGATGATTTTATCATAGAATTTTAACATCCACGGTCAATTGTTGAGCATCTAAGCATAATCACAGACATGAGATTTGAAGAAAACTTTATTTGCGGTCAAACATAGAATATTTAGGATTTTAATTGGTCATTTCTAAGAGCGTCACTCAAGGGCTTCCACTCGTTCTCAATGAAGGAGAAAAGCTAAACTAGATCAACCAATTAACCAAAAGAAGATCAAATGCAAAGAAGAAGAAAATAACCACCCAAGCAACACTTTCTCTCCCAATCTTCAGTTCCCCAAAAAGTTCAATTCATAAGCAAATTGTGAAGGAAAAACACTACTTTTTTTTTTGTCAATTTTACAATTCATCATAGCTAGGCTTGTGAGGAACAAATACAAAAATAATGCCAAGCAAGTTAAAGAAGGCCATTAGTGCAGTGAAAGATCAAACCAGCATTAGCATAGCCAAAGTTGCAAGCAACAACTCCTCATCCTCCAACCTTGAAGTTGCCGTCCTCAAAGCCACCACCCACGACGATGACCCCGTAGACACGCGCTACATCCGCGAGCTCCTCCACCTCGTCTCAGCCGATAAGGTTTACGCAGCGGCCTGTGCGCGTGCCATAGGCAAACGCATTGGTCGCACGCGAAACTGGATCGTCACATTAAAATCTTTGCTCCTCGTCCTCCGAATCTTCCAGGACGGAGATCCTTATTTCCCGCGAGAAGTCCTTCATGCCATGAAACGTGGCGCGAGAATCCTCAACCTCTCGGGCTTTCGTGACGCCTCCCATTCAAGTCCGTGGGACTTCACGGCTTTCGTCAGGACGTTCGCGTTATATCTTGACGAGCGCCTAGATTGTTTTCTAACGGGAAAACTGCAACGGAGATTCACACAAAGTTCATTAGGGTTTCGTGGACGGAGGCCCGACGAGCCTGTTCGGGAAATGAAACCGACAATGTTGTTGGATAGGATCGGGCATTGGCAGCGGTTGTTAGAGAGGGCAATTGGCACTAGGCCGACGGGGGCTGCCAAGGCTAACCGCCTCGTGCAAATCGCCCTTTACGCGGTGGTGGAAGAGAGTTTCGATTTGTACCGAGACATAACCGACGGGCTAGCCATTATAATTGATGGCTTTTCGAAGCTCGAGCATCAATCGGGGGTGATCGCTTTCCAGACGTGCTTGAGGGCAGCCCGGCAGTGCGACGAGCTCGCCGAATTTTACGGAGTCTGCAAAAGCTTGGGAGTCGGGAGAACATCGGAATACCCCTGCATTCAGAGATTCTCCGGCGAGCTGATTGAATCTCTCCAGCAGTATCTCAAAGATAACTCATCATTTCAAAAGAATCACACGCCGTCGTTTCTTCTTCCCCCAAAACCGACCAGTTCCCGAGCCAGCCACGGCGGACAATCCGAACTCTCCGCCGCAACCGACGGGTCGTCGGAAACAGGGTCGGTGGCGACATCGCTAGAGGATCTCTTATGCGCCACACTAACCACCGCCGGGAAGAATCCGGCGATTTCAATTGACCTGGAGGCTTATTCACATAGAGACGAAAAAAACTTCAAGCTGAGCGAATCCGGGTCAACGAAGTCATTGCCGGCGTCTAATTCCTTCGCCGATCTTCTGTCCTTGGACGATTGGGACGAGGATGGGGAAACCCGACCCGCTGAAGAAACGGCCCCGGCAACAAACAACGCCGGCACCGACTCTGAGCAGAGTAATGGAGCCATGGGTTGGGAACTCGTGCTTTTCGAAACGCCGCCGCAGGAGGCGGCGCCGGCGGGAGGGAATAATTTTGAAACCTTGTTTGGTGGTCCGGTTTCATCGTCGTTGCCACCTCATCATCACTACTATAACCCTTTTCTTCAAGATGAACTTTTTCCAACCTTTCCAAACGGAACACAATACCCATCGCCGGACATGTTTGCTTTAGTACCGGCGTTCCAAGAAACACCGCCCACATATTCTTCACCATCATTGTCGACCAATGCGGCGTCGTTTCCCGGCATTCAGGACCAGTATTCACCGGCGCCTACATTCCGAGCAACGGCGCCCGCATTTCCAGGAGGAGGTCCGACGACGGGAACGGGGTCAACGCAAAATGACGAGAATGACCCTTTCGCGTCATTGTTGAACGACCCAATGTTTGGCGGGTCAAATTCGAGGGGAAGGAACTTGGTGCAAGAGCAACAACTTTGGTTGCATAATCAAAATAAGATTATAGCAAAGCATTTGTCTTAAGATTATAACATATACGTAGTATATAGGCATGATTTTTTTATTAGGCATAATTTTTATTTGTATGTATATGAAATGTATGCATGCACATTTTTTGTGATTGTAGTGGTTCAGTAGTATTTTTGTCAGCTTGTTATCCTCTTCTCTAGATTGTATCATTAATACGAGTTGTGAAAAATATGACATAGACAATGTCTTAAGATTGGTTATCACTCTTAAAACATACTACGTACCATTTAGGTACTCTGACCCATTAAACGGGTAGATTCAGATGGGTGTACACCAAGTTTTGAAATAGAAACAAGACATTACTTGCCTTTTTGGAATGAGACGGTCTGGTGTGAGATTTATATTCTTTTTAATTACAAGAGAATACTCTTACATAATGAGTAATAACTTTCCGGTACAGATCTATGTTAAGGTTATGATGGACTTAAGCACATGACAACTTAAAAATTTGCATTTCTTTAGTGTGAGTTTTTAATTTTGAAATAATTACATAAATATGACTAAGATAAAGATGGTTTACAAAAATATGATTCATTACTAGAATAGTAATGAAATCATAGTAATTCATGTTCAAGTTTTGGACTTTAGTTACCACAGCACTACATTGTAGTAATGAATAGTGATATTTATGTAAATAAGTTTTATTTTAGTAATTTTTTTGTAAAAACCCCTTTAATTTTTCATATTTAACCCACATATTAATAAGTCTAATAGAATTAGACTATCTGGATCTGCCCCTACTATTAGCCAATGAGTTACTTTGTAGTACGTAGTACTCCCTTCATCCTATTTATATTGTCCCACTTCCTATTCATTTGGTCAACACAAATCCCTCCTAATTTCTTACTTATATATAAAAAATTTATCAAATTTGATTCGGGTTTTTGCGACTTTGTAAAGCTTTAAATGTAGTTTTATTGGCTTATGACTAAAAGAGAACGTCTTTCTCCATCTATGACTACATCAAGTTTTATTCTTATTGTATGACTCACATGCCTCATGCCCAAACACGTGCTTTTATTATTTTTATTTTAATCCCACAAGTTCCCTCTTTGAATTTAATTAATGAGCTTTATTTCATCCTACAAAAACGGCCGGCCAAGCTATTGACGATTAAATGCGCACGTCTTATAGGGATAACCGTTTAGAGACATAACGGGTTGTACGTCTTCTATTAATGAGCTTTATAATAATAATAATAATAATAATAATAATAATAATAATAATAATAATAATAATAATAATAATAATAATAATAATAATAATAATAATAATAATAATAATAATAATAATAATAATAATAATAATAATAATAATAATAATAATAATAATAATAATAATAATAATAATAATAATAATAATAATAATAATAATAATAATAATAATAATAATAATAATTATTATTATTATTATTATTATTATTATTATACTCTCTAGATTCTACTTTTATTCCTTAACGATTCTCCATTTTATTACCATCTTCTAGTATTGCTCTTTCATTATTGTCTTCTATTACTGCCCTTTGATTACTGTATGTCTCCTATTATTGCTCTTTCATTATTGTCTTCTGTTATTGCCCTTTGATTACTGTACGTCTCATATTACTGCCATTTCATTACTGTATGTCTTATTATTGCCCTTTCAATATTGTACATCTTCTATTACTTCCCTTTCATTACTGCACATATTCAATTACTGCCCTATTATTATTGTCTTCAACTATTGCCTTTTCGTTATTGTCTACTACCAATTATAAATCTAATTGTAAAATAATTCAATATAAACTCGAGTTATATTATACTGCAGTTTATATATGCAAAAGAAAATATGATAATTTATTTATTAATTGTAAATCATAAATTGCCTTTTTAAAATATTACTCCACACCATTAGGAGTAGTAACGGTTTCAACAATAATGCGTATTAATTGCCTGGATTCCATTTTGAAAAGATTCCTTTTTTTATAAGCGTGTGTCACAAGTGGTAATAGAGTAACATTGCATCATTATTAAATATCCATCTATATGCATACGCACATGTTTAATCATTCGTCAGACATTATTCATTTTTAGTCATACATTGAGAAACTCTCTTTCTTTTAGTCATATAACTGTATTTTTCCCTAAGAATAATTTGAGTGCGGACATGGATCTGTTTGCTTTATCATCGGTCAAACATCGTAAACCGTAAAGGGACAATATAAATGAGACGGAAGTAGTATATGTTAAGCTGTCGTCATTTCAATTTTATTTTTACAGTTCAACGTAATTTTCAAACTACTATATACTTATCATGTTTTATATATTTGTGTTGTAATTAGTTTATTTAATAAGATAATTGACGGCCTAATGTTAGGGTCCATATGTCTCTTCATAGGCTTAGGATGTTTTCTTTTGGACTGTTTTCAGTCCCAGACTAGATCAGATCAGACCAGACCAGATCAGACTAGACCAGACCAGACTTCCGTAGTTATAAAATACACAAAGACCAAACGTTTACCAGACCGGACCAGATCAGACTAGACCAGACCAGTAAATTTTAATCCAAAAGAAAACATTTGAGCATTGGAATAGACATATATTCACGCCTAGGCCTGTCAATGGGTCGGGTCTAGACCCGAACCCGACCCGGACCCAGTTATTTTTAGCGGGTATGGGTCTATATTTTATTCCGTTTACCCGGACCCGGATCCGGACCCATTAGTATATTTAATAAATGGGTCGGGTACGGTACATATGATTCCGACCCGTTAAGGACCCGAACCCGTTAAAAAATTCTTATCTGTATACTAACACACTAATACATAAAGTGATTAGTTATAACACTTCAAATAAAAAATACAAACTAATATATACACATACACACACATATACATAATAATACATAAAATTATTACTTATAATTCTTCAATTAAAAATATACGTACTAATACATACCTATCATATATATGGGTGATAATGATCGAGATAGTGTGATAGCATAAAATTAATACCCATTTTGGCCATTTATTCATAGTGATTAATATGTATTTGGCTCGGTAAGCAACACACGATATTCATTTTTATTATTGTTGTTGTTGTTATATGTTCTCATTAATACTCCGTATTATTTATCATTATCATACACTCCGTACACTATGTGTTTATACTCTCAATAGTCCAAGACACAGGGATGGATTTAGGGGGGGCGCGGGGGGGGCGACCGCCCCCCTTGGACATTCAAATTTTCTTACCATATATGTAATATTTTCATAAAACTTTCATAATTTAATTAGATTCGCCCCCCTTAGCTTTTAATTTTCAAAGTTAGTATATAGTCTTACATAATGTAATACTTAATTGGAGATTTGAAAGAATAAACATCTAAAATAATTTACATAACTTAAACAAATAAACAATAGAGTAACTCGTTATTTAAGATTTAGGATACTTATTATATAAGAATTCCTAGTTTTGTAATGTTTAATTATCTTTATTAGATAACAAGTACTGGATTTTGTAAAACATATATCAAACAATATTAAATATCAGACACACTAATTACACAATTTTTAGATCACATGAAATGAATCCAAAATATAAATATTTATAGACATTAGATTACATAATTCATTTACTTCTTGGTTTCTAAAAATAATTTATTGCATGGATAATAAACTTTAAATTATTATAGAATTAATAAAAATATTAAAATATAATATGCACCATATATACGTGTGTGTATGTGGTGCACATTATTCTAAAAATAACAATCTCATACATACTAGTATACTACTATTGTAATATTAAGAAAACTTCTCATGAGTCATGACTCACGAACACCCTCCTTGGTGGACAAAAATTACAATTTAATAACCGATTTATGAGGTTAAACAATGTAGAAGTTATTAAAAATGTATTGGTTGATGTCTTTGTCATCGTCTAAACTTAAAATGTATTAGATTTAAATGCCGTTCGGGATGTGCATGTATTAATGTCATTTTTTGAATAAAAATAGCCGCATAGTCCCACAGTAGCGAAAAAAATTCGCCCCGCTACACTAGGGGAAAAAAATTCACCCGCTACACTAACAAAAAAAAAATCTCCCCCTACACTAACGAAAAATTTCGCCCCCCTTGACTCAGAATCCTGGATCCGTCCCTGCCAAGACACCTTTTGTAACTTAATTTGAAGTCTACTCTACGAGCTCTATGTACGAGAAAAAGTGACAGAGTGTGGAGTAATACGCAAGAATCAATACCTTATTGGATAAAAGTACTAATATGAGAAACCTTGATTTTTTTTAAAAGTGAAGATATATTTTGCTTTTTAGTTTGCACACTTGTAACAAGCCTTGTTATTTTCAAAAAAATTACAAGGGTATCATACTTGGCGGGTCTACCCGACCCGGTTCAGAGACCCGTTGGGTCCGGGTTTGGATCCAAAATTTTAGACCCGCCGGGTAAACGGGTCGGGTCTGGGTCCATCATTAACTTAACGGGTCCGGGTCGGAACGTAGTGTTCCGACCCGGACCCGACCCATTGACAGGCCTATTCACGCCCAAACGAGAGATAGAGAATAGTAGCTGTAGAAGAACACCTGATGTGTGATAGCATGAGCATCTTCCCATGTCCTTATTACCGAGTACTAAATTGTTTGTTTACGACTCACATTGCTCTGTACCTGGATAATACAACTAATCCTTTTAATATCAATTACCGGTGGATACCTTAGAGTGTGAATCTATTTGTCCGTCTATATTATAGTGGCGTTTACTACTTTAGCCAATTCCAATGTGTGCAGGTTTCTCTTTAAAAAAAGGCTTCATATTATTTGAACCTAAAATTTTATTCTCATGATCTCTTATTGATTTATTCACCTAATTTGAGTTCAACTGAAAGCATACCATATTTAACATCAATAGTAATTACATCCAACTAAGAGCATACTTCACTCATGAAAATCAAGCATAAAGTTATCGTAATATTAATGAGATAAATAACTATAAGTTCAATTGAGATATAATTAAGCTAATGCCTTGTCCCTTCTTTTAAATCAATCCTTCAATGGGGATTGTATCTGCATTCGCCTATATCGTATAGTGACAAGAATTTTTAGTGTTTTCAAGGTACAATTTGCATGTCAATACTTTTACATATTTCTCAGTCAATACTTCTACATATGTTTTTACTTTC